GTCAGAATTCTGAGATTAAAGTCAGAATTCTGACAAAAAAGTCAGAATTCTGACTTTTTTTCAATTGTAAATTGAAATAAAATTTTAAAATCAGTAAACTTTTTTTTTTCAGTGGCCCTAATCATCTTCCGTAATATATGGGAGGCTTGTATATACCTGAAATTTGCCAGATGTAATTTTATAGATTTTCTTAGGTTCTTAACATTTTTTTTCTTTTTAAGTCAACACCGGGTAGAGTGACGACTAATTTGGTAAATTCACAGAGTTATAATTTTTGTTCCTTTCATATGAAAATTTGGACAATTTATAATTTATCAGCAGTTTCTTAAAAAACATTGCAAAAAATATTTTCTGTGTTCAATATCAGACAAGAGTTCTGCTACTAATCAGGCACCTTATTCATTTCCTCTGTTCATCTCATGGCCACTTCTATAGCACTTTTCCCATGAGTGAACAAAGCAGTATCATCTGCATACATGATAATATACATATCACAAATAATGAAATAAACATGACTCTCTATAAATGTGGTGCTGTGTAGTTATTTTCTAACTGAAATACAATGAAATAGAAAAAGCACGAGAGCACAGACCTTAACCAAGCAGCAAGTTTGTGATTTACAAATACATAAAATGGATCATAACCACATTCTAATGAATTGTTCTTTGGCATGAGGCAGAGCTTTGGTAACAACATCCTTAAAATCTCTTCATAATTTTATAAATAAGGCGCAGCATGTGTCTGCAGTCTCTGGTGTTTGTTCTGCTCTCACCCTATTCATTCAAAGCTCCAAACCTGATTCGTCTCATTCTGATCTGAATCGAAGGTCATTTTTGAGGTTTAGATCTTCCAAAATTACTTCATAACTGCCTTTCACAAATAGGCTGCATATATAGTGGATGGTAAATGGTGATTATGAGTACATATATATGTCTGTTGCTGCCACGGTTAGCTTATAAAATACTACAGGAAGTTGGATATTTGGAGGTAAAAACCTTGTTTTCCACTCCGTAGACATAGAAGCCATAGTCCTTCCCACTGTACCAGTAAAGAGCGTGAGTGAGGGGCACCAGCTCGATGGTCTGACGCTGTGAAAGAAAAGATGAAGGTCATGATGTCAGCCTCTCTTAAACACTCAACTGTTTTAAAAGGCAAAAAAACAATCTACCACAGCATGCTGGTGGACCCAAAGGCTTTAGCTGCAGCAACATTAGACTGAAATAAAGAAAAAGTATTTTCTGTCCAGCTTGAGACTAGTAACACATATATCGATATGCAACGGGAGACATAAGCCCCGTTTACACTACCCTTGAAAAACCGATCAATGCGGAGACCGGTCCGAGCTCGGATCAGTTAACCAGGCCGAGTCCGGTTCTGATGACCGTTTACACATCAAGCTATCTCGGTTCCTTGACTCCTCACCTCCTAGTGACGATCTGCGGTATTACTGCCA